TTGAAGAGGGCCTGTGCAATCTTTCTGCCTAGTCTACCATCTTGCTGGAACCAGGTGTGTTTGTTTTTATAGCCAGTTTTTTTTTTTTTTTTTTTTCTCCCCATGACTCCCAGGATCCTGATGATGGTGTTATACATATGTGGAATAGCATTGAGCTGACTCTAAACTGTTTTCTCTCCTTTCTTAATATCCTGATGTCCTCTCAATATTTGCTGTGTGTTCAAATTATTTTCTTCCTCTGATTTCAGGCAGGAAAATTTCAGTTTGGTTATGTGTATGGCTTGAGTGCCATTGGCTGCATTGTGATTCACGCCTTACTGAATTTGATGAGCTCTTCTGGAGTGTCCTATGGCTGTGTGGCAAGTGTGCTTGGTTACTGCCTGCTCCCCATGGTCATCCTTTCCAGCTGTGCCATCTTCTTTTCACTGCAGTAAGTGTCTGTGTGAACTAATTGACCCCACAAGCACAATTATCATTAATGCTTGCCACACTGAGCAAAAGTTTACCTCTTTGTGATCATTTGGGTAGTGGGATTCAGGAAACTACGGTTATTAGATGCTTTACATAGGTTCAAGAAAGTAGGTTTTTTTCTCAAGTGCTGTTCCTATTTCAAGGATTTAAAAAAATAAGTCAAGTTATCTCTAAAACTGACACTTTTTAAAGCTGTCACATTCTTTAATGTAAGCTATTGTCATGGGTAATGGAACAACTACAGAAAATTCACTTGTTTGATTTTTGGAGAGTGTGTGGTGAACAATGACAAATTGCTTCAACTCCCAGGCATTTTGTCTTCTGGGCTGGATGCAATTGTTCTTTCTCAGCTGGACTCCTTGCAGCACAGAATTCCCGGGAACCCTGATGGGGACAGTGCTTGAGAATGTTATAGCCTAGATGCTCAGTCAATTTTTTTTTGATTCCTTCACTTAGTATTTGTACTTCAAAACTATTTATAAGAATGTAATAGATATATGTTTCTGTTGGACACTTTCCTAAAGACAGAATGTGATCATATGGTCGTTTGTCACATACCATGCTGTAAAACCACCTAGATATAAACATTTCCCATCAGTGCTCATT